AATTATAAATGTCCACTACAGAGGACAATTTTTCAACTTTTAAATACTACGATAAAGTACAGTCAAAATAATTCATAGAATGTTTTAATATGCTGCTAAGAGATTTATTTAGAATATGTCAACAAAATTTTAAACTAAAATTTGCACAATAAAAAGTTTTATGCACTTAGTTTTTCTCTTCCCATAAAATTTGCTTGTACTGATGTATGCAATTTTTCTGAATGAAGAAAAGGAAGGTACAAAAGTCCCACCTCTTCACATTTGGTATCATTGAAAAGCCCTAAATGTCCTCTGTAGATACCAAAATAAATTAATTCAGTAGAATGCAATGGGTGGGAGATATTCAAGTTTACAAATGTCCTCTGCAGAGGACAAATTTGAACTACTGGTAGTCAGGAGGAAAATCATACAAATACCAAGATAAATAACTTCTTTACCGACAGTCCGTGTGGATTCACATCAAACAATTTAACATCAAGAATTCTATCATTAATTATTGCAAAAGCTGCTCAATATATTAGCCAAGCTTGCCCAAGTAAGGGTGAAAAACAAACTCAAAACATAATTCATCATTCAAACACAAAATAGCCTTTCAACTTTAACTTTCAGTGTAAATTGTGATTTAACTAGATGTTCTATTGATAAAACAACAGCAGAGTTCCCTCTCTATTTCATCCACTGCATTGAGGAGAACACACACCTCAATATATTATAAGCCTGGCAGGCCACCAGGCTTTACTTGCCCCCACCAGGCTGAGCATTGCTTGTTTTTATTTTAAAAAATTGTTTAAATTAAATCGATATTGAAAAAAGTGGATTGATAAATTCCCAACTATGTATTTACTGCCAACCTCCCTGTAGATTTGAGAAGTTTAGGATTAGCTGCAAGATGTCTTCATAAAAAAGAAAGGCTGAATGCAGTCAAAGGCCTGCTGATTCTGGCAAGTGACAAGTAATTTAGTCCTAGAGTCAAGATAAGAGGTGTAAGGCAGGCAGAGTTGCATGTGTGGAAAACCACAGAATTTGCACATTTTTGATCTTTGATCAAATGTCTTTTTGATCTGCAAATTAATTACTTAAAAAAATATACAATGCGATTTTCTGGAATTTTGTTTTAAATTCGATCACTCACAGTTGAAGAGTACCTATGATAAAAATTCAAGACTTCTAAATGCTTTGAAAGTGAGAAGATCTGCAAATCAACAGTGCATTTCCCCACTGTAGTGATATTGATAGTTTATACTGTCATTCTGCTAAAATTATATACACAGTCCTGGTCTGACCCTTCAAATGAACATACTTACAATATCACATTGCCATGCACATTTCACTGTGGTTGTAGTGTAAGAATTTTGAATGTTTTTAGATCGTCTTCAAGATGTTCAACAGTCAAAAAGACTTAAAAAGGTTTATATGAGAAATCATTACAGCAGAAATTTCTAATCTAGAATTTCTGATTAGAAATTCTAGATTTCTAGATTGTTTTTTGTTCCATCTGAACAAAAAACATGTTCAGATGGAAGAATTTAAGATCAAAAATATCCAAATCATAGCCAGCTCTAAATGTATCTGACAACAAACTGTTAGGGTTTCAATACCTGTCCTTCCTCTAATGAAGTGGGTTTCAGTTGATGTAGATTTTGAGTGACATCGTGGTAGAAAAGGTTCATCTGAGCCTGGAGAATCGTGTAATGTTCTGTGGTCTCCACACTCCCATCTACACCGCAAACAACCCGACCCCAGAGGCAAGATGGATTCTCAACCTTCAGAGGTCAGGAGAAACCAACACACAAATCATCTTTCAAACTCATACTTAGATATTTTAAGTGACCACAAGCTCTGTTAAATTGATAAATACTAGAAGTGAAGTGGTTTTATGTTAATAGAACAGTATATTAGGCAAAGAAATGAATCAATATAGTTAATTTACATTATATTTATTTAAATACTGCCAAATCACAACAAATATCTCAAAACACTTTACAAAAAAAGTCTAAGTGGAGAAGAACTACAGCTGAAACCAGATGTTTAAACACACCAAAAAATTTAGACATTTTTCACTGTCTCAAGTTAAATCAGACTCCAAAAAAATCTCTTGTTCTATGTCAGTTAGAATTTCCAAAATTATTTCTATATGCTACATGCCACAATAATGAAAGATTATGTCAAATTTATTTGTTAATGTCTTTGATACAGAATGATGATCATCTTTTTAAACCATAAGGGAATGAGGGCATGGCTTTGAAAACTTCTGATAGGCTAACTAACACATTGGAGTTAATTGGAGGCACATTTGTGGATGCATGTTAAGGCCTCAGCTGGAACACACTGCTTTCTTGTTTGACACAATGGAGAAGGCAAAAGACATCAGCCAAGATATCAGGCAGAGAACTGTAAGCTCCAGCCTACAAAGCTGACCAAACCTATGCCTGTTCTTTTAGGAAGAAAGGGACAGAATTCCAGCAAACTATTATGAGAAGTTTGAGGAAGGAAACCCAAAACCTCTGACCCAAGCCATATAGTCCAAAGGCAATGTTACCATACTGAGGAAACTATGTAAACAAATATGGTGGGCACTGATACTGTGTTCAAAAGTCTTCAGTCTTCTCAAATCATAAAATGGATTTTCTGTAATTTGCCATAAATGTAGACTACTTCTGTGGTATTCAAATGATTTTTATAAATGCAGCCTCGTCCTTTAAAAATAAATGTAAAACCTCCCTCTTCTAAGCTACACATTTTTTAAAGGTTTTATTGGATGTAGTGATTTCATAGTTAATTGACAGGAAAGTGGGAAATGAGAGAAGGGGA